ATGAAAAATATATATTTATGAATATATTTGGGGTGTGTGTATGTACATACAGCTATATACATGCAAGGTGTGTGTGTCTGTGTACATATTTAGTATGTTTGTCACAGTAGGGCCAGTAGCATCCTCAGCACAGATACTGTGACAATAGGTCTACCCAATGCAAAGTCACACTGTCATTGTGTCCTGGCACTGCAACCAGTGAAAAGGGGAAGCTTTTAGGGAAAATATCTGTGGTGTAGAGAGCAAGAGGAGATGGTGTGAGGGCAGTGTTTTTAAATGATGAATTTTCATCTTGTATTTGTAAGTTCCTCAGAAATGCTCACAATAAGCTAAATACAATGAAAATAAATTATTTATTTCAGGAAAATATACAAAGCAATGAAGTAAATTAGCTTATACTTTATTACCATTCAAAAATAAAATTAGGTATGTGCTGATGTGCATTGGTCCTGCAATCAAGTTTTCCCATTGCGGCAAGAACCGTTTCAGTTCTTTCACCACCTCTTCTTTAGAGACAGCAGAAGGGAACTAGCACATTAGTGGCTGTGTCTTAAAAGAGACAGTGATGCTTTGGACAGAAGTAATGTGGGGAGGGTAAAATGAGTTATTTACTTCTTTTCAAGTTTCAAGAAGTTAAATGGAATGGTTTAGAGTTACTGATGTCTCAACAGCAAAACCTTTCTTAAAGGTGTTTTTCATCTGCCAGTACAATGCATTTACTTAAATGACTTTTTCTTGCATTTTAGGAGCAGGCAATACAGGACAAACTTCAAACTCTGTCACAGAGCTGTGAAAGGTATCATTATAATCTCTTTGGCATTAGAAATATTTTCTTTCTGGAGGCTGTTTTTCCTCTTTCTCTTTCCAAGGCTAGGCCAAATGCCTGCCCTTTGTCTTGAGCAGGGGCTGACTAGAAGAAGATGGAAGGGTGCAGATGTGCTATGTGCCTATTTTGGCCCCTCCAACTCTTTTAATTCTCTAGCCTGGGTGCGGCATCCTAGCCTTGATGTATGTATGACAGCTTTCATTTCAGCGTGTGATTTCCCTTTTTGCTCAGGTAACTGAAGTCGTACAGTCCCTGGGTTTGATGCTGTTGACTCTGTATAAAAACATGTTACTCCAGTATAAAATTTGGTATATAGTTATTCCCTCTTTGAGAATAAACTGGGTATGTCTGTACCACCTTCTGTGGTGATCTTCCCCAGGTATGTTAAAGGGAACGGTTTATCGGTGAGTTGTGTGTTGAGCCACTCAAAAGGTTTTGTTATAAGTGGTAGAACATGCAGCCAAAGCCCATTTTGTGGTTTTGCAGTACCTGAGGTCACACTCAAGCTTAGTAATGCTAATGACAGAAGTAACGATAACGCCAAGAGGCAGCTCAGCACTCCTCAGAAATAAAAACAAATTCCAGTTTTTGCCAGCCCTCATCTGCCTGTTTCTGTACTCAAAAGCAGAAGGGAAAGCAGCAAGGTTCAGAGGAATTGCTGAGGAAGAGCCCTGGAGAGGAAGGCTCATAGCTGGACTGGAGAGGGGCTAAATGGGGCAGGACTCCCCTCGCCAGGCACCTGCTGCTTCAGTGCTACAGCTCCCACTTTAGCACCAGCAATAAGCCAGATTTTTCAGGGTTGGGATATGGATAAGATAGATACGGACAGTGTGTGTTCATAAGCAGCTGAATGCCTTGCCTATCGCAAGAGCCAGCACCAACTTCAGCCTTATTGATTATAAAGCTTTGGGGTAAGGATGTTAGTGACCTTTTTCTATTTCCTGAATAGATAGATAAGTTTATGAACTTTGAAGACATCCCTCTCTTACTGTTTTCATTCTACCAAAAAAGTTAGCCTGACACAAGTCAATGCAACCCCACAACCTTAAAATGGAACCTTTTTTTCCCAAGAATTTGCTGCTTTTAAATACTGTATGGAAAGTGAAATCTAATTTTTCATGAGTACAGGTGAGTTCTGGTTATAAGTAAGTTAGACAAAATGAGTTCTCTTTGTCTACCTAGTCCATTGTTGAAAGGCACATCAAATTTTCAGTCGTCTTTTGAATAGTAATGTGCCTGTTCTAGAGTTGTGTTTGAAAATCCAACTGTCCTGGCTGCTGCAGCATGGAGAGTCTGTGTCAATTCCCGCCTCGTAGTCTCAGAGGGAGCTCTCCCTGATTCAGGTGCATGGGTAACTCTGTGCTAGAGCTGGGTTGTGCTTTTATACAGTTGGAGGGTAACGGCATGGGACTCAAATGGCTGGCAATTGCAGCAAGGATGTCATCTAGAATATATACAGCGCACAAAATCTGTTCACTTTCCTAGTACACGAGTTACACCTACAAGGTAGCTGCAAAGGGAGTAGAAATAAACTGTTCTGTGCAACTAGTACAAAACAAGAAATAAAAGCCTTAAATTTAAGAAAGGGATCCATAGGTTAGGCTTAAATTCTTTTATGCCTGCCTGGCTAAATGAACACAGGAATAGATTGTCCAGGAAGGTGATGAAATCTCACAGGGGCTTTGTAAGATCAGTTTACACACAACTGTGTGAGAACTGGTTTAGACAGAGCTGGTCATACCTTGGGCTAATAAAATAGGCCAGATGGCCTGACAGGGTTCCTTTCTGACATGGGTTTTATGAACCTCTGAAAATTTCCTGCAAATTACTTACATGTTGGCGTCTTCTTTGCACGTCATATTAAAACCAGATTGTTCGCAGCTGCTGTTCTGAGTGCTAAAAATAATAGTGTTGTTAGCTGGTCATCTGGGATATTGGGGCACAAGACCTTCTTTCTGATCCTTGAGAACTGCAGAGAGGAGAGTCAGTCTTTTACAGGATGCTGTACTGACTTCTCTTTTCTTTCATTTCAACAAACAGCCTGACCCTGTTTAGACCTTCTGCAGTGAGTGCAGACAGGCAGGAGTTGAGAAAACTGGACCTTAGAAAATCAGGAACTTCTTTGAACTCGTGGAGTTCAGAAAAGGACTGTCAGACCCCTGAAGTGAAGGGATTAGGGAGATGTAGTGATTTATGAAGAGTGATGGGACTTTCCATGTGGTATTGGCAGAAATGTTAATAGATCATTCCTTGGCAGTGTGGTAGCCAGGGCACGTGCCTGACTTGGAGTAATTCCCTTCACTTACTGATCATATTCCAGTAGTTGTCTCAGTTTAGGCTAACAGTGTGCAGATGTGCACTTTGTTGTTGCTGTTGTTACCTATGCATAACTCCGTCATGCCTGATGGTGGTTTTATTTTGAGGGGTTTCTTTCTTTCTCTTATAAAGCTACATGAGTCCAGATGTTGCTTCGGGTAAAGAGATGAGTGACAGCTTTGAAGGAGCAATAGGAAGTGGAAAACAAGAAGGAAAGTCTTCAAAGAAACATAAGAAATCTACACGTGCACGTTCACGCCAGGAGAAGTCCAGCAGACCCAAACTGACCATACTAAATGCAAGTACAGCCTCTTTGAGAGTGACTTTAGGATTCTTTTGCCTTTGCCAGAAATAACTTGTCAATCTTTGCCTGCAGGTTTGTAACACGGGGGATAAGATGGTAGAGTGCCAGCTGGAAACACACAATCACAAAATGGTGACTTTTAAGTTTGATTTGGATGGTGATGCGCCAGAGGAAATCGCTACTTACATGGTAAGACTTGGTGATGTGGCTGCCCCCATTCTCTTGATGCACCAAGTTGCTTCAGCCAACTTGTTCTCATGTATTTATTGTCCAAGCCTTCTGGTAGTTGTGGAATGGGGCATTAATGGAAAAGCTATTGTTTTCCTCTTTATTTTGATATGGCCTTATAGGTAGAGAACGAATTCATATTGCAGAGTGAAAAAGAGACATTTATTGAACAAATGAAAGATATTATTGATAAAGCTGAAGATATGCTCAGTGAAGATACAGAAGGAGAACGAAGTTCTGATCAGGGAATGAGTCCCCAACAAGATACTGATAGACTGGAAATGAGCGAGGTAAGAAATGTTAAATAAAGATTTCTAGTTTGATTCCTTAGAGCCAGTTACTGTAAATCTGTGTTACATCATGTGTTAAAAAAAAAAATGTTTCTTAGCTAGAAAAATAAATATTTTACTCCATTAAAGCTTACAATGTGAGTGCTGCTTGGAATGATGCTCCTCTTGCATTGATAGGCTGGAGAATTGGGTGAGGAGAAACCTAATGAGGTTCAACAGGGACAAGTGCAAGGTTCTGCACCTGGGGAGGAAGAACCCAAGTACCAGCACAAGGTTGGGGCTGACCTATGGGAGATCAGTTCAGCTGAGAAGGACCTGAGAGTATTGGCAGATGATAAGACAACCGTGAGCTGGCAGTGTGGCCTTGAGCCAGGAGAGACAAGAGTATCCTGGGGTGCACTGGGAGGAGTGTGGCAGCAGTTCCAGGGAGGTGATTCCTCCCCCCCTACTCTACCCTGGTGGGGCCACATCTGGAGCACTATGTCCAGTGCTGGGCTCCTCAGTACAAGGAAGATAGGGAGCTGCTGGAGAGGGTCCAGCAGAGGCCACAAAGATGATCAGGGGTCTGGAGTATCTCTTTTATGAGGAGAGATTATGGGAGCTAGGCCTGATTAGTCTGGAGTCTTTATGTTGAGGGTGGCAGAGCACTGGCACAGGCTGCGCAGAGGATTGTTGACTCTCACTCTCTGGAGACATTCAAAACCAGCCTGGATGCATTCCTGTGTAACCTCCTCTGGGTGGCCCTGCCTTGGCAGCAGGGTTGGACTGGATGATCTCCAGAGGTCCCTTCCAACCCTAACGATTCTGTGTTTGGAGACAGTTCTATTGGTTTGTTTCTGTTTTTTTTAACAGGAGAAGCGGCAGTCTCAGATGAAGACACCCGTGTATCAGCAAAATGGTAAGAGTGCCTTTGAATACAAACTTAAGCTTTAAGGTAGTGATGAGTTTGCTAGATTCAGGAAGAAACTCACCAGTTACTTCAGCCAGTTGAAAATGTATCTGAAATATGGGTGTAAGACTGGTCCCTGCTGTTAAGAACCTGGATGATCGCAGGGGTGTCCTGGGTGAATCTCACATCTGGGGACCTTTAGGGAAGCCGTGGATTACATGAGCTGGTGATCAGTGGTGAAGAAGTCAAGAAAGTACAGGCAAGCAAACTCTTTTCACAGCTATGACTACGTTTGCAAGAGAGCTAAAATATTTATGTTTGTGTTGATAACTGAATTGAAGTTTCTAACCCAGACATTTTCAGCTACGTTGGTGTTACACTGTCATATCTTACGGGGTTTACAGGCAAACAGAATGGGAGGGGAATTGGCCCTTGGTTCTCTCTGTAAGTTCATGCTGGTGAGAAAAATAAAACCACTGCTGAAGGAAGCAACGTTTAGTTCTTGTTGCTGCATGTGGCACTGTATTTGCTCCATGCTGAACGGGGCAGAAAGATAAATGAAACCTTCCAAGTTCACAAACTGGGAATCTTCCAAACTAGACTTTCTGCTCAAAAGAGCTGGTTTATTTTTGCCGTGTAAACATCATAGAATTTTCTCAGTCCACCTTTTTTAACATAATGTTTATATTTCTACTAATGAAAGTTTAAAAGTGTATCTAGTTCTGGTTTGCCATTGACATATGCCAGGCTTTGGGATAAGATGTGGAAGAAAATATTAGCTAGAAAAATTCCAACATGGAGAGGTTAAACTGGATGAACTTAAACAAATCTTTCATTGTGAGAAAATGTCTACAGCACGTAACTGTTATCCTTCTGAAAGTGTGAACACTTGAAAATAACTTAAAATACGTGGCAGAATCAGGAGGCATTGCTGTTTCCCTTCCAGAAGGGATGAGAATCAAATTGGGAGTTAATTAATCTTGGCTACTATTGTAGAAAGTCTGATTTTCTTTCAAAATACAGAAATTGAGACTAGGTTTTGATAGATGACCTGGAATAGATGGGAACTATTCTATTTACTTTTTCTTTTCTTTTTACTTCTAGTTTTGCATACTGGGAAAAGGTGGTTTATTATATGTCCTGTTGTGGAAAACCCTACTACTGATGCACCAGAATTTTCGCCACCAGTACCTCAGAGTACACAGCAGTCGGAAGGGCCAGGTATTTACAAACATTACACAACATGGTTTCTTCTCTGAAGCTGCTGTGCCATCTCTCTTCTGTTCTCACCTGACTTAGTTGTGGTCATTTCCCTTCATTTAGTCAGAGGAAGGAAATGGTGAAGGTTCTGCAGTCATGCATTTTGTGTTCCTGCAATTGAACCCAACTGGCAATGTTTGTCTGAGTTTCAGGAAAGTCTCAGTGTTTTAATCCTGCCTTACATTATAAGGTAGCTGAAGTTCTAGTCACTGCTGTTTCAATAAGCAGTGTCTTTTCAGTGACATTTTTACATAATTTGCAATTTTAGGTCTAATTTGGCTTGTATAACAGTTATTTTCTGATGGGAAGCACTCATGGGTTACAGCTGGATGTGGTTATCATTCATATAACTTTCTTTATTTCCCTCTGGCTCATTAAAAAGTTACCATGATGTCTGTATTCTTTCCAGACTCAGAGCAGCCAGATGACCAGCCTGTGGTTATGGATCCACCTGGTGTCCTGTCTGGTCAGCAGATATGTGACAGTCCCATTGGAGTTTTTTTTTCTTTGCCGCAGTTCCCTGCCACAACATCTTCCACCGGTTTACCGAGCCAGGTGGAGTTTCCAGCTCCGGCACAACCAGGGTCTACTCCAAGTATCCTAGAGCAGCCAGCCACCAACAGCAGTCAGCTGGAATATCCTCCACTGGCAGCAGCAATGTCGGCTCATCCTGGTACTCCTGCCCCCCGCGCTGCCTTGTCAGAGGAGCTGTCCGATGCTGCCCCGCGCCTGCAGCCGCAGCCTGACGAGGGCACGTGTGTCCCTGATGTGGAGATCGCATGTTGCAGTGTTGGGCCGCACAGGGCAGTCCCGGCAGCTCCCACAAAGGTAGCGGAGCTCTGCCCGCTCCCGGATGCTGTCGTTCTGGAGCGGCAGCCTGTGGCGCAGGTCCCTGCACTGCCAGAGGCCGGCCAGCCCAGTGCGGTGCACCATCCCTTTGTGAGCCCGGCGTTCCCTGCAGCCACCACAGCTGATCCTCTTGCTGTAGTGGGGTCTCAGCTCCAGAGCCCGACACAGGGGCCAGCGCCCGCAGCCCCGCAGCATGCCGCAGGGGTCACTCTGCTGCAGCAGCAGCCACCCGGCACAGCCGAGTCCGATGGAGAGGGGCCGCCCAGGGTGGACTTTGTCGACAACACTATAAAAAGCCTCGATGAGAAGCTGCGCAATTTGCTTTATCAGGAATATGTTCCTACTTCGTCTGCATCAGCAGGGACTCCAGACACCTCTGTCCCCTTGGAACAGGGCGACAGTGAATTTCACTTGCCACCTTTTCCCGAAGATCAAGTTCCCACGTTAGCGTTGGAGTCGAGAGAACCAGGACATAATGTTGCAGACACCAGCCAGGAGGTGACAGCTGCTGCTGAGGCCCCGTTGGTGCCACTCATAGCACCTGAGATCTCTCCCTATCCAGGACTGGTAAGTCCAGTGGTGACTCTGCCCCTTGTACCCCCAAATCCAGCTGTTAGGGCCAGCACCAGAGTAGAGCTTGGAACCAATGTCTGTATACATAGAATCATGTCTACGTACATGTGCTGTGGTGGGACATGTGTAGATTTCTTGCTTTTCTAAACATGTTACATTGCTGCTGCTGGGTGTATTCTGTCTGTTGGCTGCTTTCCAATGTGAAAGTTCTTTTAAATTTTTACCATCATTTTACATTAATAAAATTTGGCTTATTAGTGAAAGCCAAACTTTTATTTACTCAGTGTCTTGATTGTGCCCCTGTATTGCCTTCTTTCAGGCAAGATCCTGAGTTTATGAAATTCAACAGATTTGCAGCACTTTCTGCTAGATCAGTGTGTATCTTACCTGAAAAGCAGCATTTCTGGAGATAGTTAAATCACCACTAGTAAGGATGAGACTGTTCTGTGTAGTGTCAGCTGGATGAACTTTATCAACTGTTTGAAAAATGCTGTATGTTACAGGAAAGATGCCTGCACTTGAGTAACTCACTCTTTAGAGCATATTGTTTATAATGACTTTCTACAGCAGATAAAATTCTCCTTTTGTGAAAGGTCTTATGTCTCTCTAATAATTTGTCCTATTAAAATGTGTGCCAATAAGAAGAGAGAGAGGCAGAATTTCTGAAGACAGACATACAAATGAAGAAGGTACTGTCTGACTGGAAAAGTAAACCAGAACAAAACCCCAAACAGATATATATAATTCAGTTGGGGATTTTTTTAGCCTGTTTTTTACTAACTTGGGATGCAGTTCCTTCTGTGACACTGCCACTGCTTTTTTGTTTCTTCCCAAGGGAAGGAAAAAAAACCAGGAGGAGTTGAAGGAAGAGCTAGACGGCCAACTCCACAGACACTATAAAATATTTTAATAGTCCACAATAGTGTGAGAGCAGAGAGAGGAGGAGAAGGCATCGCCTTTCTGCTTTGTGTGTGAGACTGACATGCTTTTTCTTTCCTCTTTGTATCAAAAGTACGAAAAGTCGGAGGTCACCAGCATCGGTGCCCGCTCCTCAGAAGGAAGAGGTGGGTCAGCAAGCAGAAAAGGTAATGTTCCCTTCAGTGAACAGCAGCATCTGTACTAGTGCACGGTCCTCTTCTCCAATGTCCACTTGCTGCTCACCCTTCTGCAGAGCACTGCCCAGCATAAGGTGTTCCTGATCCTATTTCTAATACAACTAATACTGAACATCTCACTTCTGCCAGGTTTCCTAGAAAGAAACTCCCTCACAGGTAGATTTCTTTTAAACCATGAATATGTAATACCTGCCTGTGGTAGAGATGCAGAGTGTTCACATGGAAGGCTATGTTCCAAATAATACATTTCCAGTGACCTTAAAAAGTCCAAACAGAAATTCCCTCAGATTTCCTGGGTTTCGTAAAAACATGTTGACAAAAATAACATGCTTGAGGGTAGTCCCTCTAGGGGGAAGCGTGTTAAACTTGCAAGGAAGTCACATGGAGAACTGGTAAAGAGCACTTTAAGTACTTGTAGGTACAATGAAACTTTGTATAGTTACACACAGTAGGAGCCAACGTAACAAGCTGGATATTTATCATGCTCCATTTACCTGTCTTGTCCCTCATTTTAGGTTTTAAGGGCTGAGGAACCTAAAACTGCTCCTTCTGTCATGGGTGGGGTTGGTGAGGCTTGTAATATATATAGCTTTTGAGATTGTTGTGACAAAGCTGACTACCAGGTTTGTGTGACGACATAGATCATTCTCATCCTAGTGAACATAAATCATCCACGGCTTTTAGGTCAGTGTGAGAGGGGAAAACTTTGGATATCCTGCATTCATCTCTCTCACTACAGACAAAGAGAGTATGCAAGTGAAATATAGCATTTTGCAGTAAAATTAATGTATCTTAGATACCATTGAGCAGTGATGTACTTCACCGCTTCAGAACTATGAAGTGACAGATTTTTGCCTTATGTTCACTCTCTGCGATGTGCCATAAGAAAGCAGCTTTATGAAAGGCTTCATTTCATGTTTTAACTTCAAAAGCAGCATCTAGCTTGTGAAATAATTGCTTCTTGATTACTGCCACTGCCACTTTGATTCTTGTGTGCTTCTGTGGTCTGAGTGGCCACCTTTTGAGCTTATAATTTCCACTTAATTTCCACAATAGATTGAAGAGAGTGCCTACTACCTGCAGATACTTTATATTGGCATCGATATTGCCTCCTGTATTACAAAGATTCTATAGTTAAATTATTCCTCAGTGCTATAATTTATCACACTGCAGTTTATCACAAGAAACACATTTGCTTTTTATTATACTAAAGCATTCCAGACATGAATTTTTCTTTTTTTCCAACTTGTAAAACAGGTTCAGCTGCAAGCATCACTTCAGCTCCTGCCGCCCCAGCAAAAGGCCTTCTTCAGGTAACCAGAAACAAGGAGCAGCTTTATGGTTGATTGTCACAGTTACTTTCAGTGTTAATCTCCATTATTTTCTCCAGGTTACACCTACATCTTCAAGCATAACTAAGCAGATGGAAACTTCTAAAGGGAGCGAGAAGGCAAAAACTATGACGCTGTCTGCACACAAAGAAAATGTAACACAGATACTTACAGCAGATGGGGTGATAAATAACCTTCAAAGGGATGACTCTCTAGACTCTGGTTCCTATGGAAAACAGGCTGAAGCTCATGATAGCAGTACACCAGCCAAAACGATTGGCAGGTTTTCAGTGATCAGCACACAAGATGAATTAACTTTAGCAGCACCACACTGCTTGAGGTTCTCGGCACCCCCAGATGTCTACTTGGATGAGCTCCCTTCCAGCCCTAATCTGAAGACAGCTGTCCGGCGGATGCCAACAGCCTCTTCTGTTGATGTCCTCTGTGACCAGGGTTCCAGTGATTCTGCTGAGGAGCCTTTCCGTCGGCAGTCGGCTGCTGCTGCCCCACTGTCCCCACCAAGCAGCAGCACGGCCACTGACTTCATTAAGAAAGCAGCTGCTTTTCTGCAGAGGTCTGGCAAAGCTGGCTCGCCTGGCCTCGATTCCCCTAATGGGCAAGGAGCAAAAATTCCCACCATCAACGTCACATCTTTCCACTCGCAGTCGTCATACATGAGCAGCGACAATGACTCGGAATTTGAAGATGCAGATATGAAGAAAGAATTACAGAACCTGAGAGAAAAGTATGTTGGGTTGCAAACAGTGCTGGGGAAGCTTGTGTTAAGATACCCAGGCAGCATCTCAGTGTATGATAAGCAAATATGTGGTTTTCATAGCTGTAATGAGTGAAATGGTTCTGGGCAAATTAGGCATCACTTTCCCCAACATGTCATAGTGCATCCTTTTACACGTCCCTTTATTTGTTAATTCCCTTTAGAGGAATAATTCAATAATAACATTTTTAAACCCCAAAACATTTCTGCTGTGATATTCAGCTTCCTTACTGAAGAACTATATTGATATGGTAGCAAACAATAGCACTTGTACTGTATGTGATAGCATGTCCCCATGTGGGCACTATTTAAGGCATCATAAAAATAATCTGGATGCCTGCACAGACAGCTGCCATAGTGTTGTCTTCATGCCCTTCTCTGCAAGGGTGATTTAGACCCATTAGTATTCCTAGACTTGCTTTTACAGTAGATAACCTAGTACCTACCAGGCAGGTAAGACCCTTGCTTCACCTCCGATCGGATCT